AAAATGTGCTCACCCTCAGGTCATCCAAGATTAGGATCAGTTTGTTTCTTCATCAGATTTGGAGAAATGCAGCATTGCATCAGTGGGCAATGTTAAATTTCTAAATTTCTGATGATGAAAAACTCATATACACCTTGGATGATGTAAGGGTGAGTAAATTTGCAGCCAACGTTCATTTTTGCATGAACTATTCCAGCAAAAACAACCAGACCAGCCGCATTATAAACTGTCGCAAGTCTATTTCTGAGAGCGACTCTTATTTGCAAAGCAAATCAATTCAAGCGTTGGGGGTCTTTGGAAGCCCGACCCTTACAAGGAACTCAAACTGCTTTTCAGCTCCTTGTTTTTTCCCCTTTCGCTTGAACAAGCACCCAGAAGTTGTCAAACTCTCAGAGCTTTCTCTCACTCCAGAAGAAGTGCTCACACGAAAGAGAAAGAAAGGAGACACAAAAGGCGGAGGCGGGAGTGAATGGAGGGTGATGGTGGTGCTGTGGCATGCTAATGAAGCTCTAATACTCACAAATGCCCTCTCCCTTCGCTCCAGCAACAGGGCAGCGGGGTTAATTATCATAACAACGGGGCGCTGGACATTTCGCAGGAGACGCCAACACTGTCCTTCTCCAAAGCGCTGACGGATCCGAGAGGTCACTTTATCTTTGTTTAAATAATTAACCCACCTTTGCTTCACTTTTGTTGGAAGAGCGACACCATGATGAGCCTTTCTAGAGGACAGAAACCGCGACGGGTCGCTGTCGGAGACTTCACTGTATTTGCTTTTGTTTGGCATCTACGGTGGCTCAGGCTAAACAGAGCTTTTCACAAGCATAAAACACACACACTGTACGGGACAATATAGCAGGATACCCCATATAAGCGGCCCAGCGTGGGTCTGGCTTTGTATTGTGAGGACTTTACAAACATATCACTTCATTAAGAGGTGTGTGAGCACACAAACTCCACAAACCTGCAGCAACAATCCACGTCATTAACATCTCTGAGAGGAAAAGCCTCGCCACATACTGGGTGGACGCTGGTTTAAAAGTGTGAGAATTAGTAGCTTTCACAACATTGCGAAAATATGTTAAAGAAAACCTCAGAATGGCCAAACAACGGCTAAATGAAAAGGACCTGTGTCTCTTTAGTTGGATGCGGTCAAATATTTCATCTTATGTTGATGTAGAATCAGTGTTGACAATGAAATATTTGCCCAACGTTCACTTTGAGCTTTACATTAACAGCAGGGATATAACAAGAAAACTCTGAAACAACAGCAACAGTCAAGGGTTTAACCCTTTATTTATCTATCCATCTATTTATCCATCTATGCAACCATCCATCCATCCATCCATCCATCTATCCATCTGTTCATCCATCCAACCATCTATTTATCCATCTTTTCAACTATCCATCCATCCATCTATCCATCCATCTGTTCATCCATCCAACCATGTATTCATCCATCTTTTCAACTATCCATCCATCCATCTATCCATCCATTCATCCATCTGTTCATCCATCCAACCGTTTATCCATCTGTTCATCCATCCAACCAACCAACCATCTATTCATCCATCCATCTATCCATACATTCATCCATCTGTTCATCCATCCATCCATCCATACATTCATCCATCTGTTCATCCATCCATCCATACGTTCATCCATCCAACCATCTTGTATGCATGCATCATCCAACCATCTATCCATCCATCCATTTCTCCATCTATCCAACCTATCTATCCATCCAAATCATCCATCCATCCATTTTTCCATCTATCCAACTATCCATCCATCCATCATCTCTACACCTCAATGCTTTTTAAATTTTATCAATATTCAAAACTTTAAAATTGTATTTCTCTTGTTTTTCTAGTAGAAAAATTACCATTATGTTCTTTGAATTTCAATTCATTCGATTTATTTTCTTACATTGCCAAAATTGGAACTACAATTCTGCATCCCTACATCAGTTAAAATTCAGGAACTGAACTGGAATTTAAGACGTTCTCAATTCAATTCCAATGGGCAAGCAACCTAATTTCTTGCATTCAGAAACAGCTAGATGATTGATTATAACGGCACAGAACACGTTTTAAAAAGTCAACTATACTTCTGAAGACATGAAACATGATGCAACAGGCAAAGACGTCCATCTGACGCATGTGTACACATAAAATTAGCGCAGACTGAACTCGTTCCACGGGCCCCGTCCCACCCAGAGTACGACAACATATGCATTACTAATTACCATTACAAAAACATGATTCTGAAGCAGACATGACAGATCACTAGCAACAGAAACACACCGAGTCCAAGCATGGCATGATCTCCTCACGGGCGTCAAGAGTTTTCAGACTCTCAGAGATGAAGAGGGCCAGTTGTAATGGGAACGCCCAACACTGAGACACACAAACAGCCAAATCCTTCTTTAACACAGCAGCTCTTGATGAATGACTGGGGACAGCGCCGTTGCCAGGATCCAATACTGGCCAAGTCCATGGAAAGGAAAAGAGCAGGTCTTTTGTTGCATTCGAGCACAAAAACAAAGCGGCTTTGCTTTTAAAGCACAGTGTATCTCCTCTTTGAAGCCCTCTGACATCCTCATTAACTCAGGGAAAAAACTTGTGAAGCAAAATGCATTTTTGTTTTGCCTTGTTAATGTTGTTCTTCTTGGCTGAACTTCACTCGCCTCATTCTAAACACCAGCGTGACGCGTTTTCACAACAATGTCATAGAAAACTTCAAATACATGGCAACTGGTGAGAAATTAGCAATTCAATATTTTAGGTATTAATAAAATACCTGTTGAAATTCAGCAAAAATGTAAAATGCATGAGAGACTCAATGAACTTCAATCGAGTTCGCTGTTGGTAAACTATCAATGCAACACAAAAATATTATCAAACTCTGATTTGTATCAAGCAATTCAAGTAAATATATTATCACTTTTTTCTTGCATTGCAGTAATGAGACACTTTTTTAAACTTGTAAACTTTACAATATTTAAATAGAAAAAAAAAACTTTTTTCTTGCATTGCAGTTATGATTAAGTTTACCTTACTATTTACAACTTGTAACAATAAGTGTAATACTGCTTTAAATTGTTGTTGTTTTTCCACACAAAAATAAATCGTTTTCCGTTTAATTTAATTGCAATTTTGTTTTTGTTTTTCTGAGCAAAAAATAAATATGATACATTCTCCCCTGATTTACAGAAGAGAGCCACTAAAATGTCATTCAGTGTAACATTCTTGTCAGGCATATTTACAACAAAAATCCATTTATGACATATTAAAAGACTAATTACTTTCACCCAAAAATACTAATTAGTTTCTATTCTAAAATGTGCCACTATCCTAGGTTTTGCCCATTTGTCAGTAAGAATTTTTTACTCATTTAAAACACAATAAAATTTAACATGCTCTCTAATTCTTTTATATATTTTAATATGTACAGGTCAGAATAAGCATGTTGTTTGAATTTTTACATAAATATTGTGTTACACTGAATGACAACGTAACATTACTTCAACCAAATTTTGACATTTTATTCTCCAAAAACTTATTTGAAACCTTAAAAGTAGACATTTTACTTACATTTAATGTGCTTTCTATGAACATAAAATCACTTTTTTTTTTTTTTTGATGCGGACATCTTAACGGCTTTGTCCCAAATACTTAAATTAATATTCATATTAATAAAATACCTGTGTCATACCTTATTTAAAAATGCTGCGAACATGTAAAATGCACAAGAGACTCAAAATGAACTTTGATAGAGTTTGTTGCTGCTAAACTATCAATGCAACACACAAATATTACCAAACTCGGATTCGTAACAAGCAATCAAACCCTTAAAACAGCCTTGAAGTGAAAAACTGAGCCCTTTCTTTCTCTCTTTTCAACTGTTGCTCATCGTCTGCTCTGCCTTCAGCATTTCACACCTTTAAATTGAATCTGTCTGTCGGCGTCTCAGTAAAACACTGTTGTGTGGATGAGCGTCATGCATCAGCTCATCAACACAGGACACGTCTATACCGTCAGACCCCAACAGAGACTCGATATTACTGTTACCATAGAAAACTGGAGAGTATGCATCACATTTACACGTGATACTGCTGCAACTGCATGCATAAAATATTAACAACATGTTGAGTGAGGCATTGAAATTGACAAAACATGTCCAGGTCTTATTTCCCATCAAAATGTTGTTTGTTTTTTAAAGGTAAAAGAGTCCTGTTACTGCAATACAGTGTTTTTAGTGAACATAATTTGCACACAAATCAGAAATAAAGGCAGTACAAATACTACCATTATGCATAAATACTAAACAAAATATCAACATTTTTTCTTGCATTGTAGCAATGAGATGTACAAATACTTCAACCTGAATTTTGTAAACTTGTAAACTTTACGAATATCTAAATAAAATAGCACGTTTCTTTTAAATTGCAGTAATGAGATGTTAGGTTAAAGTATTTCTCTACTGCAATGCAAGAAAAACAGCAATATTTTCTAACGCTAAGTTTAAAAAAGTATGGTTGAACTATTTATACTTTTTAAACTTGTAAACGTTACTAATATTTAAATAATGTATTTGTATATACAAAAAGTTTTTTGTTTTTTTTAATCAGTATTTTTCTTGCATTTCAGTAATGAAACAAATACTGCATCCTTTTTTAAACCTGTAAATTTTACAAATATTGAAATAAAATATCAAAATTTTTTTCTTGCATTGCAGTAATGAGATGTAAAAATTCTTTAACCTTACTTTTTAAAACTGGTAAACTTTACCGATATTTAAACAAAATAATATCTTAGAAAAAGTCCTTAAGTAGGACTAATTTCTTATTATATTGATATAATAAGACATGTTTTGTGTCTCTTGTATCTCTCGTATTACTTCCATTCTGTTCTCTCTCTTTTTCATTATCCCTTTCTTCTGGTGATTTAGAGTGAACTATGACCTGGACGTGTTTTTGACGAGTTTCACAGCTTTACCTTTAAGCACTGCTTGTGATTCTGACACCAAACCAATGATCCATTGCTCTGAAAAGAGAGAAAAGACATCCTAAAACACTGGAAATCACATCAGATATGAAACATTCACTCAAACAGGTAAATGATTAGAAAAGTAAAAGCAGAAAAAAACAAAAGTTTGAATGATTTTAGTAAATCAGTTCAAACTGTTCATTTCAGTGAATCGATTCACAACACTGATTCAAAGATTCACTTGCACCATCACTCAAAAAATTGCTTGAATAAAAATGTTCCTTTAAACTGTTTGTTTCAGTTAATCGATTCACAACACTGATTCAAAGATTCATTTGTACCATCATTACAAAAAATGGTGCTCGACTAAAAATGTTCCAGTAAACTATTTGTTTCAATGTATCGATTCACAACACTGATTCAAAGATTCATTTGCACCATCAATAAAAATGTTTCATTAAACTCTGTTTCAGTTAATTGATTCAAAACACTGATTCAAAGAGTCTTTTGAATCATCACTCAAATGGTGCCAGACTAAAAATGTTTTATTAAACTGTTCCAGTGAATTAATACAAAACACACATCTAAGATTTGTTTGCACATCACTCAAAAAACTGACTAAAAATGTTCCATTAAACTGTATGTATCAGTGAATCGATTCAAAACAAAGAATCAAAGATTCATTTGCACCATCACTCAAAAACAAGGTGCTTGACTAAAAATGTTCCACTAAACTATTTGTTCCACTGAATTGATTCAAAACACTAATTCAAAGATTCATTTGCACCATAACTCGGTGCCAGAATAAAAACATTCCTTTAAACTTAGTTCCAGTGAATCGATTCAAAACACAGATTCCAAGATTCGTTTACTCAGAACACGGAGTAAAAATGTACCATTAACTACAGTTTCAAATGAATCGTGCCTTTGTTCCTTTTTCCACAAGCATCTGAACAGGCAAACTTCACGAGTCTGTAAACCAAAAGTCTGCTTAATTTCAATGTCAAGTTCAAAGGAATCTGGAACAATGTAATCCAGTGGAAATTCCCCGTGAAACCTTGGAAAAGAACTTATCACTAAAGGACTTAATTTGCCCTCCAGTCCCGCAGGGTGTTGTGCACTTGATGTCAAGGATAACGGTCAGCGGCTTCAAAGCCAGGAAGAGCCTCGAATGCAGAACATGTGCATTGTTGAAGACGTTTGCAATGCTTTAATGGAACGATAGCGTGTGTCTTCAATCAGAGACATAAAAGCAGTTTCAGCTGCTCTACCGGATCAGATATGATAATTGGATCATCTTTACGTGACTGTAAATCAAACATTATTAGCTGCACCTTATGAGCTGCAGGAGCTTTGAACCAAAACAAATCATTTTACAAAACATAATGAGCTGCCTAATGCCTACATGGTAGGGCAATTAATCGTAATAAAACCGAAATCGTGATAAGGTTGTGATCTAATTAAATAAATATGTGCACTTTGTGTTTCGGAGTGAACTCAACATGCGGCAAACATGTTCCCATTCTTGTAATGAGAAGCATTTATCAACAAGAGAGCAGCTTTTAAGGGACTCTCTGTGGATTTCTGTCAAAAAAAGTTTGATGGTTCACCACTTGAAAATAAAGAAATTAAGATAAATATAATAATAAATATTAGCATTGCAATTTACAATCGTAATATAAAATAAAATTATTATCATTATTATTATTTCTTAAATACACAATATTACAATAGTAATATTTCTTCTTTTGTTTTTATTTTATAATGTTTATATTTGTATTTAGTAGTAGTAATAATAATAATAATAATAATAATAATAATAATTATTATTATTATTATTATTATTATTGTTATTATTATTATTATATAGCCATATCATATATTAATCACAAAATGTTGGACAAATTGTGCAGCCCTACAAACAAACACTGCAAACCTGTATTTTATTTTATTTTATTTTATTTTATTTTATTTTTCATTTCATTTCATTATTTTATTTTATTATATTTTTTCATTTCATTTCATTTTTGTTTTATTTTATTTTATTTTTTCATTTCATTATTTCATTTCATGATTTCATTTCATTTCATTATTTCATTTAATTTCTTCATTTCATTTCATTTTATTTCATTTTATAATTTTTTTTTTCATTTCATTTTTATTTCATTTTATTTTATTTTTTCATTTAATTTTTATTTCATTTTATTTTATTTCATTTCATTTTATTTCATTTCATTTCATGATTTCGTTTCATGATTTCATTTAATTTCATTTCATTATTTCATTTCATTTCTTTATTTCATTTCATTTCTTTATTTCATTTCATTTCATTTCTATTTCATTTTTATTTCATTTTTTCATTTCATTTTTATTTCATTTTATTTTATTTTTTCATTTCATTTTTATTTCATTTTAATTTTATTTCATTTCATTT